GCCGAAGTGAGTATCTTTAAACAGGTTAACATTTACAAGGCCTCAGGGCCAGATGGAATACCAGGGCGCATACTCAGAGCATGTCTGACCAGCTGGCAAGTGTCTTCACTGATATTTTCAACCTATCCTTGACCCGGTCTATAATAGCAACTTGTTTCAAGCAGACCACAATAGTCCCCATGCCCAAGAACACCAAGGTAACCTGCCTAAATGACTATCGCCCCGTAGCACTCACATCTATACCCATGAAATGCTTTGAAAGGCTGGACCCACTCCAATTTGCATACCGCCCCAACAATCTCTATCGCACTTCACATTACCCTCACCCAACTGGACAAAAGGAATACCTACAGTCGTGGTCAAAAGTTTTGAGAATGACACAAGTATTGGTCTTCACAAAGTTTGCTGCTTCAGTGTTATGAGATATTTTTGTCAGATGTTACTATGGTATACTGAAGTATAATTACAAGCATTTCATAAGTGTCAAAGGCTTTTATTGCCAATTACATTAAGTTTATGCAAAGAGTCGATATTTGCAATGTTGACCCTTCTTTTTCAAGACCTCTGCAATCCGCCATGGCATGCTGTCAATTAACTTCTGGGCCACATCCTGACTGATGGCAGCCCATTCTTGCATAATCAATGTTTGGAGTTTGTCAGAATTTGTGGGTTTTTGTTTGTCCACCTGCCTCTTGAGGATCGACCACAAGTTCTCAATGGGATTAAGGTCTGGGGAGTTTCCTGGCCATGGACCCAAAATGTTGATGTTTTGTTCCCCGAGCCACTTAGTTATCACTTTTGCCTTATGGCAAGGTGCTCCATCATGCTGTAAAAGGCATTGGTCGTCACCAAACTGTTCTTGGATGGTTGGGAGAAGTTGCTCTCGGAGGATGTGTTGGTACCATTCTTTATTTATGCCTGTGTTCTTTGGCAAAATTGTGAGTGAGCCCACTCCCTTGGCTGAGAAGCAACCCCACACATGAATGGTCTCAGGATGCTTTACTGTTGGCATGAACCAGGACTGATTGTAGCGCTCACCTTGTCTTCTCCGGACAAGGTGTTTTCCGGATGCCCCAAACAACCGGAAAGGGGATTCATCAGAGAAAATGACTTTACCCCAGTCCTCAGCAGTCCAATCCCTGTACCTTTTGCAGAATATCAGTCTGTCCCTGTTGTTTTTCCTGGAGAGAAGTGGCTTCTTTGCTGCCCTTCTTGACACCAGGCCATCCTCCGAAAGTTTTTGCCTCTCTGTGTGTGCAGATGCACTCACACCTGCCTGCTGCCATTCCTGAGCAGGCTCTGCACTGGTGGTGCCCCGATCCCGCAGCTGAATCAATTTTAGGAGACGGTCCTGGTGCTTGCTGGACTTTCTTGGGCACCCTCATGCCTTCTTCACAACAATTGATCCTCTCTCCTTGAAGTTCTTGATGATCTGATAAATGGTTGATTTAGGTGCAATCTTACTAGCAGTAATATCCTTGTCTGTGAAGCCCTTTTTGTGCAAAGCAATGATGACAGCATGTGTTTCCTTGCAGGTAACCATGGTTAACAGAGGAAGAACAATGATTTCAAGTACCACCCTCCTTTTAAAGCTTCCAGTCTGTTATTCTAACTCAATCAGCATGACAGAGGGATCTCCAGCCTTGTCCTCGTCAACACTCTCACCTGTGTTAACGAGAGAATCACTGACATGATGGCAGCTGGTCCTTTTGTGGCAGGGCTGAAATGCAGTGGAAATTAAGTTCATTTCATGGCAAAGAGGGACTTTGCAATTAATTGCAATTCATCTGATCACTCTTCATGACATTCTGGAGTATATGCAAATTGCCATCATCAAAACTGAGGCAGCTGTATTAGTATTTGTGTCATTCTCAAAACTTTTGACCATGACTGTACAGGTATGTAAGAATGCTGTTCATTGACTACAGCTCAGCATTCAACACCATAGTCCCCTCCAAACTCATCACCAAGCAAAGGTACCTGGGACTGAAAACCTCTCTCTGCAACTGGACCCTGGACTTCCTGACGGGCCGCCCAGAGGTAGTGAGCATAGGCAACAACACATCTGCTACGCTGACCATCAACACGGGGGCCACTCAGGGGTGTGTCCTTAATCCCCTCCTGTACTCTCTGTTCACCCACGACAAGTTTGTGACGACACGGCGGTGGTAGGACTGATCACCGACGATGATGAGGCAGCCTATAGGGAGGAGGTAAGTGACCTGTCAGTGTGGTGCCAGGACAACAACCTCTCCCTCAACGTCAGCAAGTCAAAGGAGCTGATCGTGGACTACAGGAACCGGAGGGGCGAGCACGGGTGGCTAGAGCCTTTTTTCAAAGACTCTAGTCACCCAAGCCATAGTATCATTATTTAATTCAAGTGCAACTTTGCTCTCTGTTCAGTTTGGGAGCTGCGCGAGTGGGAGGGAAATGCCCGTGTGCTTCGCGGTCCACCTGATCTTTTTTCTGCAGTTTTATTGAAGATCCCTCCGTGAACCACACACTACAGTGCTGTTGTTCGGCAGCAGATGATGCGCTGTCAGCCAGTCATTCTGCTACGGCTGGCCATGCTTTCCACCTGGCTATCCCTACCCCGGCCACCAGCTCTGCATCCTCCTCTGCAACTTGCCCATGCCCATACAACTAGAAATACCTAGGGGTCTTGTTAGACCATAAACTCTCCTTCCAGACTCATATTAAGCATCTCCAATCCAAAGTTAAATCTAGAATCGGCTTCCAATTTCGCAACAAAGCCTCCTTCACTCATGCTGCCAAACATGCCCTCGTAAAACTGACTATCCTACCAATCCTTGACTTCGGCGATGTTATCTACAAAATAGCCTCCAACACTCTACTCAGCAAATTGGATGTAGTCTATCACAGTGCCATCCATTTTGTCACCAAAGCCCCATATACTACCCACCATTGTGACCTGTACGCTCTCGTTGGCTGGCCCTCACTACATATTCGTCGCCAATCCCACTGGCTCCAGGTCATCTATAAATCTCTGAAAAGGCAAATCCCTGCCTTATCTTAGCTCATTGGTCACCATAGCAACACCCACCTGTAGTTTGCGCTCCAGCAGGTATATCTCACTGGTCATCCCCAAAGCCAACACCTCCTTTGGCCGCCATTCCTTCCAGTTCTCTGCTGCTAATGACTGGAACTAACTGCAAAAATCTCTTAAGCTGGAGACTCTTATCTCCCTCACTAACTTTAAGCATCAGTTGTCAGAGCAGCTTACCGATCACTGCACCTGTACACAGTCCATTCTGTAATTAGCCCACCCAACTACCTCATCCCCATATTGTTATTTATTTTGCTCATTTGCACCCCAGTATCTCTATTTGCACATCATCTTCTGCACATCTATCACTCCAGTGTTAATACTAAATTGTAATTATTTTGCACTATGGCCTTTTTATTGCCTTACCTCCATAACTTACTACATTTGCACACACTGTATATATATTTTCTATTGTGTTATTGACTGTATGTTTTGTTTATCCCATGTGTAACTCTGTGTTGTTGTTGTTTTTATCGCACTGCTTTGCTTTACCTTGGCCAGGTCACAGTTGTAAATGAGAACTTGTTTCTCAACTGGCTTACCTGGTTAAATAAAGGTTAAATAAAAAAATATATACAAAAATCTCACTCGCCATCACTCACCACTGTTATCAAATGGACTCAAACTAGCCACAAGTTCTGACTGCTCATACAGCGCAAATACAGTTTCTCTCTCTTGGTTTCATACAAACTTTGAGAAATAATGAGGAACGCCCACAATGTGTTTTGTGAGGGGAAGTGCTTAGTCTCTCAAAACAAACAAATTAAAACGACATGTCCTGAACAAACATCCACAGCATGAAGGTAAACCAAGGAGTTATTTCAGAACAGGGCACAATGCTTCAGGAAACAGCGCTTCGACAGTGGAAAAGTAAGTCAGCTGGCAAGGCATTGTTGTCATTTTCTAACAGGTGATGATAAGCAGAAATAAGGGATCGCTACTATCGCTCATAGTAGTAGATGTGAGTTTCTCTTTCAAACAATCCCCTTGTACACAGCTAATAGATAGCAAATGTTAGCCAAAGCAAGTTAGTTAGCTACTGTACTTAGTGCAACCCTAAGTAACAGTACAGATGAAGATGAAAAATGATCAGGCCTACTTTACATCTTACTGTATAAATTATTGTTGAAAACAAGTCTAGGTTGGAACTGTGCTGTTAAAATACAAGTAATCATTTTATTCTGGAATAAACTGATTGAAGCAAGATGCTTTTTGAAGCAAACACAATCACACAGTTCTGGGTTGATCATCTACCGCAGGAAGCGGTCCCTTGCCTGACTGAGAAAGCAGTAGATGTTCTGATCCAGTTTGGCACCACATACCTATGCGAGTCAGGGTTCTCAACTCTGGTGTACTTAAAAAACAAGTACAGAAACAGACTCAATGCTGAGCATGACCTCAGGGTTGCACAGTAAAAAACTGAGCCCAGAATAGACATACTATTTTTTATTTTATTTAACCTTTATTTAACTAAGAAAGTCATTTAAGAACAAATTCTTACTAACAATGACGGCCTACCAAAAGGCAAAAGGCCTCCTGTGGGGACGGGGGCTGGGATTAAAAATAAAAATAAAAATAAAAATATAGGACAAAACACACATCACGACAAGAGAGACACCACGACACTACATAAAGAGAGACCTAAGACAACAACATAGCATGGCAGCAACACATGACAACACAACATGGTAGCAACACAACATGACAACAACATAGTATCAACACAACATGGCAGCAGCACAACATGGTAGCAGCACAAAACATGGTACAAACATTATTGGGCACAGACAACAGCACAAAGGGCAAGAAGGTAGAGAACAATTCATCACGCGAAGCAGCCACAACTGTCAGTAAGAGTGTCCATGATTGAGTCGTATTTTCAGTGGTTCACCAACATCCAAAATGGCCGTATAAGGATTGTCCTTACGACAGGTCAAGAGAAGTGGTCCTCTGTCAGTCCCAGGTCCATGGCTCGGTCCAAATTCTGGCTTCTGCTCTCAGAGGAGAAGAGCGCAAGTCTCACCTCAACTTCAACCAGCCACACACCTCTCATTAGGACTGTGTGTGTGTGTGTGTTGTTTTCTGGTCTACATCTGTGTGATGTGATCAATCAGTTTATTCCAGTTCAAAATAACAATTATTTATTGTATTTTAACAGCAACAGTTCCAACCTAGACCTTTCATTCAACAATACTTTCTTAGCCTGATCATTTTCCATCTGTACTGTTACTTAGGGTTGCACTATCAAAAACTCAGCATGTGTGTGTGTTCTATTATACATCTGTGTGATGTGATCAATCAGTTTATTCCAGTTCAGAATGAAAATTATTTATTGTATTTTAACAGCAATAGTTCCAACCTAGACAGATATGTAAGAGTGTTTTTAATGGGGGAAAATAACCATTAATTGCTATTTATATGGGTATTTCCTTTCATTGTTATTTGTTTTTGTCTATATTGCATTCGTTTTAGGCATAAGGGCAATTAAATGTACCGATATTTAGGTATAGTTGCATGTTTTCATAAGCTTGGGTCCAAAGAAAACACAGGTTGAAAAAGTTTAAGAACCCCTGATCTATCCTGTTGCCTAGTCACTTTACCCCTACCTATATGTACATACATGTAGCTACCTCAATTACTTTGTACCCCCTGCACATCGATCGGTACTGTTACTGTATATAGCCATGTTATTTTTACTTATTATTGATCTGGTTTGAATGTCGCACAGTGATGACATGTGATGTGAGCCTTGTGAATGTCGCCCAGTGATGACACGTCAATCAATCAAATGTATTTATAAAGGCCTTTTTACATCAGCAATGTCACAAAGTGCTATACAGAAACCCAGCCTAAAACCCCAAACAGCAAGCAATGCAGATGTAGAAGCATGATGTGAGCCTTGTGAATGTCACACAGTGATGACACGTAATGTGAGCCCATAGAGATAGTTAGAGGATGCAACATCGTATCTGTCCAATTATGGTGTCTGTGAGAGCATGGGCAGCACCATGGAGGCCATCTCCATTTTGAAGTAGTCAATTTTCTTCTTCTACTGAGTGTGTTGTTTGAACAGGTATAAAGCCAAGGTTGTCGATTTACTGCCACCCGTAGTTATGGAATGTTTGCTCACAAGTATAATTCATTGGTTGATCCCTCCTGATGACCTGGATGGAATTATGTGATCCTTCCTTAACCAATAGGAAGTCCACTCAGTTGACTACTTCAAAATGGGGAAAGTCCTCAATGGCGCTGCCCGTGCTAAAACAGGCTTTTGGGCACTAGAGTCCTCTATCATTCTCTCTGTGTGAGCCTTGTGAATGCCGCACAGTGATGACACGTGATTTGAGCCTTGCAAGTATTGACAAGAGATTTGAGCCTTGCAAGTATTACGCAGAGTGATGACACGTGAGGTGAAGTGAGTCTTATGCTGCGTTTAAAACAACTGGGAACTCGGAACTAGGAACCCGGAAATCTCCGACTTCCAACTTCAGTGTGTTTAACTGGGAACTCTGAAAAAAACTAACTCCGACTGGGACAAATCGATTTGAACGGTCATCCAACTCAGAATTCCAACTCGGGAACTCTGGCCTCTTTCTAGAGCTCCGACTTTCCAACCTGAAGATCACTGACGTCATGATTCATCCTCCCATTTTTCTGAGTTCCCAGTTATTTTGAACACAGCATTACTTACTTGAAGCCCATGTACATGAACTGCAGCCAGAGCCAGGACAGGATCAGCATGATGACCATGTTGGGGAAGGCAAAGCCAAACCACGACGCAAAGTTGATCACATCGCCATTATCTGGGAAGATACTATAGAGAGGGGGAAGAAGGGAGAAGGAGAGTGGAGAGAAGGGGGAGAAATAAGGGAGAGAGGAGATTTAGATATGGCCTGATTTTATCTACATGCACATGTACATTTGAAAATTATGATGATGTTGTCATTGTCATATTTATGGCACAGTGCCTGTGTTTGTGTCTGTGTCTGTATGTGTACAGTGCATTCGGAAAGTATTCAGACCCCTTGACTCTTTCCACATTTTGTTATGTTACACCCTTATTCTAAAATTGATTAAATTGTTTTTTTTCCTCATCAATCTACACACAATACCCCATAATGCCAAAGCAAAAACGGGTTTGTAGACACCCTTATTCTAAAATTGATAAAATTGTTTTTTTCCTTCATCAATCTACACACAATACCCCATAATGACATGGCAAAAACTGGTTTGTAGAAATGTTTGCAAATGTATTAAAAATAAGTATTCAGACCCTTTACTCAGTACTTTGTTGAAGCACCTTTGGCAGCGATTACAGCCTCGAGTCTTCTTCGGTATGACGCCACAAGCTTGGCAAAACTGTATTTGGGGAGTTTCTCCCATTTTTCTCTGCAGATCATCTCAAGCTCTGTCAGGTTGGATGGGGAGTGTAGCTGCAGAGCTATTTTCAGGTCTCTCCAGAGATGTTCGATCGGGTTCAAGTCTGGGCTCTGGCTGGGCCACTCAAGGACATTCAGAGACTTGTCCTGAAGCCACTCCTGCGTTGTCTTGGAAGTGTGCTTAAGGTTGTTGTCCTGTTGGAAGGTAAACCTTCGCCCCAGTCTGAGGTCCTGAGTGCTCTGGAGCAGGTTTTCATCAAGGATCTATATGTACTTCGCTCAGTTCATCTTTCCCTCAATCCTGACTAGTCTTCCAGTCCCTGCCACTGAAAAACATCCCCACAGCATGATGCTGCCACCACCATGCTTCATCGTAAGGATAGTGCCAGGTTTCCTCCAGACATGACCCTTGGAATTCAGGCCAAAGAGTTCAATCTTGATTTCATCAGACCAGAGAATCTTGTTTCGCATGGTCTGAGTCCTTTATGTGGCTTTTGGCAAACTCCAAGCAGGCTGTCATGTGCCTTTTACTGAGGAGTGGCTTATGTCTGGCCACTCTGAATGGTGGAGTGCTGCAGAGATGGTTGTCCTTCTGGAAAGTTATCCCATCTCCACAGATGAACTCTGGAGCTCTGTCAGAGTGACCATTGGGTTCTTGGTCACCTCCCTGACCAAGGCCCTTCTCCCCCGATTGCTCAGTTTGACCGGGCGGCCAGCTCTAGGAAGAGTCTTGGTGGTTCCAAACTTCTTCCATTTAAGAATGATGGAGGCCACTGTGTTTTTGGGGACCTTCAAAGCTGCAGAAATGTTTTGGTACCCTTCCCCAGATCGGTGCCTCGACACAATGCTGTCTCTGAGCTGTACAGACAATTCCTTCGACCTCATGGCTTGGATTTTCCTCTGACATGCACTGTCAACTGTGGGACCTTATATAGACAGGTGTGTGCCTTTCCAAATCATGTCCAATCAATTGAATTTACCACAGGTGGACTCCAATCAAGTTGTAGAAACATCTCAAGGATGATCAATGAAAACAGGATGGAGCTGAGCTCAATTTTGAGTCTCATAGCATAGGGTCTGAATACTTATGTAAATAAGGTATTTCTGTTTTTTAAAAACCTGTTTTCGCTTTGTCATTATAGGGTATTGTGTGTAGATACATTTTAGAATAAGGCTGTAACGTAACAAAATGTGGAAAAGGGGAAGGGGTCTGAATACTTTCCGAATGCACCCTGTGTGTGCGTAACTTACTCGTCCACCTGTCCCTTGAGGATGAGGTTGGGTGTGGTGCCGGTGAGGGTGGCTGTGCCTCCGATACTGGCAGAGTAACACACACTCAGACTCATCCCTTTAGTCAAGAGCTGGTACTTCAACTCTCTCTGTTTTCTCCTCCTCTCCAGAGGTGAGTACGCATCTCTCTCCACATCCTCATCTGGAGGGAGGGAAGATGAAGAAGGAGAGAGAGGGAGAGGAAGGTTATAGAGAGAAAGAGGAATGTGGTTAGCGGTCCAGGGAGAAAGAAAGGACAATCATTAACACTGTATTCAGGGAACTCTTTACAACGTATTAAAACATATTTAAAACATACTGAAAATGGTTCTAGGAACCATATCAGACAATAATGGGTGGGTCTTTATCACATCACATTTACATTTTTAAGAAAGAACTATAAAACTCCCCTTAAACCGATTACATTCAGAAAAAATTGTCTGTATCTTTATACATACACATATAATCCTGCTGTGTCTTGACGAGGTCCTGTTTGGTGTTGATCTCTTCTTCTTGGGGTGATTTGGTGTCCAGTTTGAAGGCCTGGTTGTCCTTCCCTTCAACCTGCAGCTCCCTCTCATCCTGCCTGGCCTCTGTGGCACACAGCTGGCCTAGCACGGCCTGGGTGATGGGCAGCATCATGGCTGTGGTGGCTGTGTTACTGATCCACATCGACAGGAAGGCTGTCACACCCATGAACCCTGACATCAGCCTGGAGAAAGGGTAGAGAGAGTGAGATGGGGATGGTTACTTTTGGGGATGGTTACAAACGTTACTTTTGTCTTGCATGTAATATCTATCTGTATTCGTTTTTTGCAACTAAGGTAGGCCTACTTCTAACATTGTTCTTGTTGTTTTATGTGATACAGTAGCTAATGTTGCTCTTCTCTAACTGTATTTTGTAGAACGGTAGCTAATGTTGCTAACTCTGACTATATTTTGTAGTACGGTAACTAGTGTTTCTAACTCTGACTGTATTTTTTAGTAAGGTAGCTAATTTTGATAACTAACTGTATTTTGCAGGACGGTAGCTAATGTTGTTACTATTTGATGCCCCAAATTCCTAATTAGTTAATTGTTACATAATTAATTTAATCGAGTGACAATTAAACATAGTTAGTTCATTCGATAAATAACAGCCATACATTAAAGTAAGTCACGTCACGACAACTGTATTTTGTAGAACAGTCACTAATGTTGTTAACACTGACTGTATTTTGTAGCTAAGATTGCCAACTCTGATTATATTTTGTAGTATGGTACCTAATGATTCTAACTCTGACTGTGTTTTTTGGTAAGGTAGCTAATTTTGATAACGCTAACTGTATTTTGTAGGACAGTAGCCAATGTTGCTAACTGACTGTATTTTGTATTACTGTAACTAATGTTGCTAAATCTGACTGTATTTTGGAGAACAGTCGCTAATTTTGCTAATTTTGACTGTATTTTGTAGTATGTAGCTAATGTTGCTAACTCTGACTATATTTTGTAGAACGGTAGCTAATATTACTAACTTTGATCTTATTTTGTAGAACAGAGCCTAATATTGCTAACTCTGACTGCATTTTGTAGTACATAGCTAATAAAGACAACTTTGACTGTATTTCTTAGCAATATTAGCTACGTACTACAAAATACAGTCAGAGTTAGCAACATTAGTGACTGTTGTAGAAAATGCAGTCAGAGTTAGCAGTATTAGCTACTGTTCTACAAAATACAGTCAGATATAGCAACATTAGCTACAAAATACAGTCAGTGTTAGCAACATCAGCAACTTTTCTACAAAATACAGTCAAAGTTAGCTTTATTAGCTACGTACTACAAAACGCAGTCAGAGTTAGCAACATTAGCTACCGTTCTACAAAATACAGTCAGATTTAGCAACAATAGCTATCGTAACACAAAGTACAGTCAGAGTTAGCAACATTAGCTACCGTTGTACAAAATACAGACAGTTAGCAATATTAGAAAACATTCTACAAAATAAAGTAAGAGTTAGCAACATTAGAGGCTGTTCTACAAAATACAGTCAGAGTTAGCAATATTAGCTACCATTCTACAAAATACAGTCAGATTTAGCAACATTAGCTACCGTAATACAAAATACAGTCAGAGTTAGCAACATTTTCTAACATTCTACAAAATACAGTCAGAGTTAGCAATATTAGCTAATGTTCTACAAAATATTTTGTTGAACAGTTACTAATTTGCTAATGTTGTTAACGTTGACTGTATTTTGTATCTAATATTGCCAATCTGATTATATTTTTTAGTAAGGTAGCTAATGTTTCTAACTCTGACTGTATTTTTAGTAAGGTAGCTAATTTTATAGTAAGGTAGCTATTTTGATAACTCTACCTGTATTTTTAGTAAGGTAGTTAATGTTGCTAACTGACTGGTTTTTGTATTGTGGTAACTAAAGTTGCTAAATCTGACTGTATTTTGTAGTACATAGCTAATGTTGCTAACTCTGACTGTATTTTGTAGTACGTTGCTAATATTGCTAACTTTGACTGTATTTTGTAGCTAATGTTGCTAACTCTGACTATATTTTGTAGTACGTAGCTAATGTTTCTAAAACATGACTGTATTTTGTAGAAGGTAGCTAATATTGCTAATTCTGACTTTATTTTGTAGAATGGTAGCTAATGTTGCTAACTCTGACTGTATTTTGTAACTAATGTTGCTAACTCTGACTGTATTTTGTAGCTAATATTGCCAACTCTGACTATATTTTGTAGTAAGGTAGCTAATTTTGATAACTCTAACTGTATTGTGTAGAACGGTACCTAACGTTGCTAACTCTGACTGTAATTTGTAGAACGGTAGCTAATATTGCAAACTTTGACTGATTTTTGTAGAACATTCGCTAATGTTGCAAACACTGATTGTATGTTGTGTTGTTAAATCTGATTATATTTTGTAGAACGGTACCTCATTTTTCTAACTCTGACTGTATAATTAGGAAGGTAGTTAATTTTGATAACTTATTGTATTTTGTAGGACGGTAGCTAATGTTGCTAACTGACGGTTTTTTAAACACAGTAACTAATGTTATTAAATCTGAGTGTATTTTGTGGTACGTAGCTAATGTTGCTAACTGACTATATTTTGTAATACGTAGCTAATGTTGCTAACTCTAACTATATTTTGTAGTACGTTGCCTAATGTTTCTAACTCTGACTGTATTTTGTAGCTTATGTTGCTAACTCTGACTGTATTTTGTAGCTAATGTTGCTAACTCTGACTGTATTTTGTAGTAAGGTAGCTAATTTTGATAACTAACTGTATTTTGTAGAACGGTAGCTAATGTTGCTAACTCTGACGGTATTTTGTACAACAGCCGCTAATGTTGCTAACTCTGACTGAGTTTTGTATTACGGTAGTTATTGTTGCTAAATCTGACAGTATTTTGTAGAACGGTAGGTAATATTGCTAACCCTGACTGTATTTTGTACAACAGTCGCTAATGTTGCTAACTATGACTGTATTTTGTAGTACGTACCTAATATTGCTAACTTTGACTGTATTTTGTACAACAGTCGCTAATGTTGCTAACTCTTACTATATGTTGTAGTACGTAGTTAATATTGCTAACTTTGACTGTATTTTGTAGCTAATGTTGCTAACTGACTGTATTTTGTAACTAATGTTGCTAACTTTGACTGTATTTTGTAGCTAATATTGCCATCTCTGACTATATTTTGTAGTAAGGTAGCTAATTTTGATATCTCTAACTGTATTTTGTAGAATGGTAGCTAATGTTGCTAACTCTAACTATATTTTGTAGTACGTACCTAATATTGCTAACTTTGACTGTATTTTGTACAACAGTCGCTAATGTTGCTAACTCTTACTATATGTTGTAGTACGTAGTTAATATTGCTAACTTTGACTGTATTTTGTAGCTAATGTTGCTAACTGACTGTATTTTGTAACTAATGTTGCTAACTTTGACTGTATTTTGTAGCTAATATTGCCATCTCTGACTATATTTTGTAGTAAGGTAGCTAATTTTGATATCTCTAACTGTATTTTGTAGAATGGTAGCTAATGTTGCTAACTCTAACTATATTTTGTAGTACGGTACCTAATGTTTCTAACTCTGACTGTATTTTGTATTACGGTATCTAATGTTGCTAAATCTGACTGTATTTTGTAAAAATGGTAGCTAATATTGCTAACGCTGACTGTATTTTGTAGAACAATAGCTAATGCTGCTAACTCTGACTGCATTTTGTAGTACATAACTAATAATGACAACTTTGGCTGTATTTTGTAGAAAAGTTGCTAATGTTGCTAACATTGAATTTAATTTGTTGCTAATGTTGCTACATCTGACTGTATTTTGTATTACGGTAGCTATTGTTGCTAAATCTGACTGTATTTTCTGGAACGTTAGCTAATACTGCTAACTCTGACTGTATTTTCTACAAAAGTCACTAATGTTGCTAAATCTGAATGTATTTTGTAGAACGGTAGATAATATTTTGTAGTATGTAGCTAATTTGCTAACTTTGACTGTATTTTGTAGAACAGTTGCTACTGTTGCTAACTTTGACTGTATTTTGTAGCTAATATTGCTAACTCTGACTGAATTTTGTAGAACAGTCACTAATGTTGCTAACTCTGAATGTATTTTGTAGAATGGTAGATAATGTTGTTAACTGACTGTATTTTGTATTACTGTATTTAATGTTGTTAAACCTGACTGTATTTTGTAGTATGGTACCTAATGTTTCTAACTCTAACTGTATTTTGTAGGACGGTAGCTAATGTTGTTGACTGACTGTATTTTGTATTACTGTAACTAATGTTGCTAAATCTGACTATTTTGGTGAACAGTCGCTAATGTTGCCAACTCTGACTATATTTTGTAGTACGGTACCTAATGTTTCTAACTCTAACTGTATTTTGTAGGACGGTAGCTAGTGTTGCTAACTGACTGTATTTTGTATTATGTAACTAATGTTACTATATCTGACTGTATTTTGTAGTATTTAGCTAATATTGCTAACTTTGACTGTATTTTGTAGCTAATGTTTTTAATGTTGCTAACTCTGACTGTATTTTATAGCTAATATTACCAACTCTGACTATTTTGTAGTTAATGTTGCATGCTCTGACTGTATTTTGTAGAACGGTAGCTAATGTGTTTATCTCTTACTGTACAGTATACTGACTATATAAGCTACTGTATTCAGTAGTTATGGGTTACAGTGGCTACTTGCTAACTTAGTGTACTTACAGTGCCGGCTTTACCCCCACCACCAGTAGTACTCGGAGGGCGATGCGTTTGTGAAGATTCCAGTTCTCAACAGCGATAGCCACCAACAGACCACCGATGAACAGCATGTTAGAGTCCTTTAGGTACTGGACACACACCTGGAAAAGGTAACACACATAGACACACACACACACACACACACAGACACACACAGGTCAAGACCTATTCAGCTCGCTGAATAAAGCCTAGACATCAGGTCTCAGTCATTTGTTTTGTTTTGTTTTGTTTGTGTAATTTTTGCGTACTGCTCCAGACTCCATGATGCCCATCATAGGGAAGAGGATAACAGGCAGCAGGGCAGTCACAGCCAGGGGAATACACTCTGTACACCAGTACAGTGCCATCAGGATGATAGCATAGCCACACTTAGCCTCCTGTACACAGAGAGAAATGGAGAGAGAGAGAAAGGGAGAGAGAGAGAACGAGAGAGAGGAGTGTGTGTGTGTGTGGGGGGGGGGGGGGGGGGGGGTTAGAATACAAACATGAAACACAATTTGGCCAGTTCCATTACACAATGAATAGCAATAGCAACTGCCTAGCTCTCCACCATGTCAGCAAGGGATTGATTTTGACTTGTGGGTTCTGGGGTTGCTATGCTGACTAAATTAGAAAATGTACAGAACTACTACTGTTTCTCTGTATTTAGTCTCTCCCTTAAACATACATGCACATAACCTTAAACACGCGCACACACACACACACACACACCCAACAGAGAAAAAGCAGTAACTACTGTCTCAGTATCTTATCTTCTTTTATCTCTTTAAGGATTGTAAGGCTTCATTCACACAGATAGCAGTAACCCTTGATCATAAAAACGAACAGTCATCCATGCTGTCTTTCATCACAACACTTTATGGACCTTAGGAAAATACAAACTCATGGAGATCATAGTAGTGGCTAGCTAGTTGGCCTAAGGTCAGAAATTCAGCTTTGAATTGAGCTTTCCTTTATCCCATGGTCTACCATGTAGCCTTGGGTTTGGGTTAACACACACACACACACACACATACACACACACACACCAAATATGACCTAAGTGCCATTTACACCACAGAGAGTGCAATTACCCAACACATCCATTACAACATCACCATGTTATTGTTGTCAGCTGTACTCTTGTACATTTCCATTCACTGTGCTATTCAATTTCAGCTTGTGTCAGTGTGCCACTGAAAAAAATTGTAAGGGCAGAGTGCAATATACAGTGGCTTGCGAAAGTATTCACCTCCCTTGGCATTTTTCCTATTTTGTTGCCTTTACAACCTGGAATTAAATTAAATTAATAAAAAAAAAATTATCATTTCATTTCCACAACATGCCTACCACTTTGAAGATGCAAAATATATTTTATTGTCAAAATAAACAAGAAATAAGACCCAAAAAATGAAAACTTCAGCGTGCATAACTATTCACCCCCCCCCCCCCCCCCCCCCCCCAAAGTCAATACTTTGTAGAGCCACCTTTTGCAGCAATTACAGCTGCAAGTCTCTTGGGGTATGTCTCTATAAGCTTGGCACATCTAGCCACTGGGATTTTTGCACATTCTTCATGGCAAAACTGCTCCAGCTCCTTCAAGTTGGATGGGTTCCGCTGGTGTAGAGCAATCTTTAAGTCATACCCCTTAAACCACTCAAGTGTTGCTTTAGCAGTATGCTTAGGGTCATTGTCCTGCTGGAAGGTGATCCTCCGTCCCAGTCTCAAATCTCCTTGTATTTAGCGCCATCCAACATTCCTTCAATTCTGACCAGTTTCTCAGTGCCTGCTGATGGTGTTCTTGGGGTGATGAGAGGTGTTGGGTTTGCGCCAGACATAGCGTTTTCCTTGATGGCCAAAAAGCCCAATTTTAGTCTCAACTGACCAGAGTACCTTCTTCCATATGTTTCGGGAGTCTCCCACATGCCTTTTGGCGAACACCAAACGTGTTTGCTTATTATTTTCTTTAAGCAATGGCTTTTTTCTGGCCACTCTTCCATAAAGCCCAGCTCCGTGGAGTGTACGGCTTAAAGTAGTCCTATGGACAGATACTCCAAACTCCGCTGTGGAGCTTTGCAGCTCCTTCAGGGTTATCTTTGGTCTCTTTGTTGCCTCTGATTAATGCCCTCCTCGACTGGTCCGTCAGTTTTGGTGGGCGGCCCTCTCTTGGCAGGTTTGTTGTGGTGCCATATTCTTTCCATTTTTTTATAATGGATTTAATGGTGCTCCGTGAGATGTTCACAGTTTCTGATATTTTTTTATAACCCAACCCTGATCTGTACTTCTCCACAACTTTGTCCCTGACCTGTTTGGAGAGCTCTTTGGTCTTCATGGTGTCGCTTGCTTGGTGGTGCCCATTGCTTAGTGGTGTTGCAGAGTCTGTGGCCTTTCAGAACAGGTGTATATATACTGAGATCATGTGACAGATCATGTGACACTTAGATTGCACACAGGTGGACTTTATTTAACTAATTATGTGACTTCTGAAGGTAATTGGTTGCACCAGATCTTATTTAGGGGCTTCATAGCAAAGGGGGTGAATACATATGCACGCACCACTTTTCTGTTATTTATTTTGTAGAATCTTTTGAAACATCTTTTTTTCATTTCACTTCACCAATTTGGACAATTTTGTGTATGTCCATTACATTAAATCCAAATAAAAATCAATTGAAATTACAGGTTGTAATGCAACAAAATAGGAAAAACGCCAAGGGGGTTGAATACTTTTTCAAGGCACTGTACTGTATGTATTATGTATGTGGTGGTACAAGATGTGTATGATGTGTATGACAGGGCAATGTATGTATCGTGTATTTGTTGAGAGTCAAAACTGTTCGCTGCTCTGGCACCCCAATGGTGGAACAAGCTCCCTCACGACGCCAGGACAGCGGAGTCACTCACCACCTTCCGGAGACATTTGAAACCCCACCTCTTTAAGGAATACCTGGGATAGGATAAAGTAATCCTTCTACCCCCCAAAAAAAGAAAGAAAAAAAAAGTGTAAAGTGGTTTTCCCACTGGCTATAGGGTGAATGCACCAATTTGTAAGTCGCTCTGGATAAGAGCGTCTGCTAAATGACGTAAATGTGCCCTTGAGCAAGGCACTTAACCCTAATTGCTCCTGTAAGTCGCTCTGGATAAGAGCGTCTGCTAAATGACTAAAATGTAAATGTAAAAATGAGAGTGAAGAGTGCAGATCTGGGTTAAAATACTATTTAGGGTATTTCAATTACTTTCAAAGACATTTTGATATTTTTTCTTGAAAATACAAGTAGTTGAATAGAATTGATTGATATGATTTATTATGTCTCTGAAAATCTACCGGTGCCCAGCCCACATGGGCTTACAAGACACTACGAAACACAGTGCCATTTTTCTTGTACTCAAAACAAAATAACATTTTACAAATTATACGCATATACAATAATTATGGACAGCTACCATCTAGCCACACTACACAAACAGTACATTTCTCCTCCTCCTCCTCTAGGCATTGTGAACGAACAAACTGAGCAATCTCAAACAAACCCTGTCTGAAACTAAATTCAAGCCTCCTACTGAAGAGATGATCTATCTACAGCTATTCATTTGGTCTCGCAATCCAGGGTTTTAATCAAGCCCTGCTTAGCTTTGATGTTTGTCACTGACTACTACCAATGTGCTATCCTGAGAATGATTATTGAGAGATCTCTTAATATCTAAATATATTCACTGCTGCTATCGAAGTCATTCCAAAGGGTAGGTTTAAAATAGCAAATGAAATGTAACCTTACTTTATAAGTCATGTATCATCAATGGTACTATTTAAGCCTATATAGCATTTGCAAAGTCATCAACAGCTTTTGTTTCAATTCAACCCAGGGTTCAACAAAAAATCGACAATACATATAGGCCTAGGGTTTCAAGCTTTGGTTCATTTTAAATGTAATCTTCAAGTTAATCATTAATATGTTGGACTTGTGTCTCAATCTCAACCAAAGATCAAAGTTAAAGAATAGGACTAAATCAAATCAAACTTTAAAGGCACTTTACATAAAGTTTTGATTTGATTATTGGTTGAGATGGAGTCGTGAATCCAACATATTAATTATTATTTGTAGACAAACTGGAATTAAAGCCACACTGTCAGTGGCACAAAATATACATCTCTTCAAATGTTGATATTTGGTTGAGTTGACAACCAAACACAATTAATCATTTATTTTTTTTATTTTTTGCAATACAGTAAATAGCCTATTAACTTGTCGACAGCTTAACAAATTATATGTTGGATTCACATCTCCAACTAAACCAAAAATAAAAGTTAAAGAATAAGATTGCTTAATCATTGTGACTCATATGAAACTATCCAAACATTAGATATCCTTTAAATGTTGATATTTGGTTGCATTGTCAACCAAACACAATTCAATATTACTTTTGTAATACAGTAAATAGTAACAGTATTTATTTAACCTTAAAATTAGTGTAACATCCAAGGCCACATTGAGGTTATCCTACAGTAACTATGTCACATCTGCTCCTGCAACGCCCTCTACTGCTCATCCTGTGTCTCCTTGACCTGCCGCCACTCCCCCAGTACTCTCTCCCTCTCTCTCTGTGCGTGTGTGATTGTGTGGGTAGAGACAGGTGTGCTGGAGTCAGAGCAGATCCCCACCAGCTGCAACCTGTTCCATAATCAAGACCTCTACAAATACCCAGTCCTGCCACTTCTACACTGCCAGATCGTAATCAATGCTCAGTCAGTCTACAGTTCTAGCCGTTTGTTACTGTTCAGATCTTGTTATCCTGTTGTGCCGGTTTTCCTCTCCTGACGCTGTTTTCCTCTCCACTACAGTTCTGCCCGCTTCGACTCCCCGTCTCTAGTCCCACGTCTCGTCATCCTGCTACTCTGTCCTGGATTCCCCACTCTACTACTCCCTTGGATTCCCCTCTGGACCTGTTTACCCTGTGTCAACCCCCCTCAGCACCTGCTTTCCAGCAGTTTCCCCTGACCTGCACTCCATCTTCCCCCTGTGTTTCAATAAATACCATGGTTACTTCATCCCAGTCTCCTCGTCTGAGTCTGCTCTTGGGTTCCACTCCGCGTAACAAACTATAAATGTCTTAAGTAATCATAGAGCGTGTGCATGTTCAAGATGACATGCAACGATCGCAGGTCTGTGGAGATCTTCACAATTGCTGTTATAATCTTTGCAGTATCTTGAACAGCATTGATCACTTGTACCATGTACTTTTTATGTAATCTAAACTACAATCCAGGTCATTTGGTTGTGTTATTAGATGAAGCACA